TTTTCTAATATTACGTAAATGAAAGAAGGCGGTCCTAGAGGTCTGCTTTATGTGGGAGTTAAATGACAAATCCTGATCAAAGATAACTCCAAGATTCCTGACAGTGGTGCTAGAGGCCAAGTTTTAGACAATGAGTCTCTAAGGTTTTTGGGGCCAAGAACAAGAATTTCGGTTTTTTCTGAGTTTAACATCAGAAAATTGCAGGTCATCCAGGATTTTATGTCCGTAAGACATGTTTGTAATTTAGATAATTGATTTATTTCATTGGGTTTGATTGATAGATATAACTGCGTATCATCTGCATAACAGTGAAAGTTAATGGAGTGATTCCTAATAATGTTGCCTAAAGGGAGCATATATAAAGTAAATAGTATTGGTCCAAGTACAGAACCTTGTGGAACTCCATGACTAACTGTAGTATTTATGGAGGATTCATCGTTAACATGTACAAACTGAGAACGATCTGATAAGTATGACTTAAACCAGCTTAGGGCAGTTCCTTTAATGCCAATTTGATGCTCGAGTCTCTGTAAAAGAATATCATGGTCAATGGTGTCAAATGCAGCACTAAGATCTAATAATACAAGTACAGAGACAAGTCCATTGTCAGAAGCAGTCAGAAGGTCATTATTAACTTTAACCAGAGCTGTCTCTGTGCTATGATGAACTCTAAATCCTGACTGAAAATCCTCAAATAAACTATTGTTATGTAGAAAGTCACACACTCTTTGGCGACTACTTTCTCCAGAATCTTAGAGAGGAAGGGGAGGTTAGAAATCGGTCTATAGTTGGCTAAAACCCCTGGGTCAAGAGTGGACTTTTTAAGAAGGGGTTTAATTACAGCTACTTTAAAGGACTGTGGTACATATCCTGATAATAAAGAAAGATTAATCATATCCAGTAAAGAAGTGCCAATTAAGGGAACAACTTCTTTAAGCAGCCTAGTTGGGATCGGGTCTAATAGACAGGTTGATGGCTTCGATGAAGAAATGATCGAAGTTAACTGATGAAGATCGATAGTAGAAAAACAGTCTAAATATATATCTGAGTTTACATTGGCAGAAGTCCCTGAACTTGGAGAGCCAATGATAACTGTTGATGGCAGTTGGTGATTAATTTTTTCTCTAATAGTAATAATTTTATTATAGAAGAAGCTCATGAAGTCATTGCTACTTAAGTTTATGGGGATATGTGGCTCGATAGAGCTGTGACTCTCTGTCAGCCTGGCTACAGTGCTGAAGAGGAACCTAGGGTTGTTCTTATTTTCTTCTATTAGTGCTGAGTAATAGGCTCCTCTGGCATTACGGAGGGCCTTTCTATAGGTTTTAAGATTATCTTGCCAATTTGAGCGATATTCTGATAATTTGGAAGAGCGCCATTTCCTTTCAGATTTCCTAGCTATTTGTTTTAACTGGCGGGTTTGGTGGTTATACCAAGGTGCTAGTCTCCTATGTTTTAATAATTTCCTTTTTATAGGAGCGATAGAGTCTAGTGTTGATCGTAGTGAGCCTGCAGCACTATCAACAAGATTATCAATTTGGGAGGGACTAAAGTTGTTATAGGACTCTGTTAAATTCAGACATGGCATTGAATTAAACACTGAAGGAATCTCCTCCTTAAATTTAGCTACAGCACTGTCAGATAAACATCTGCTGTAGGAAGTTTTGCCTAATGGCTTATAATCTAATAATATGAATTCAAAAGTTATTAAATAATGGTCAGATAGGAAAGGATTATGTGGGAAGACTATTAAATGTTCAATCTCAATGCCATATGATAGAACAAGGTCAAGAGTGTGATTAAAACAATGAGTTGGTTTATTTACACTCTGATAGAAGCCAATTGAGTCTATTAATGATATAAATGCATTACTAAGGCTGTCATTGTCAACATCCACATGAATATTAAAATCACCTACAATAATTACTTTATCTGATTTAAGGACTAAACTTGATAGAAACTCTGAGAATTCAGATATAAAATCAGAGTACGGTCCAGGAGCGCGGTACACTATAACAAATAGAACTGGCTGCAGTGTTTTCCAGTTTGGGTGAGAAAGACTAAGAACAAGGCTTTCAAATGACTTATAATTTAGTTTAGGTTTAGGGTCCATTAAAACGCTCGAATCATATATGGCTGCTACTCCACCTCCTCGGCCTGTGCCTCGAGGAATGTGAGTGTTAATATGACTGGGGGGTGGATTCATTTAGGCTAACATACTCCTCGTGGGACAACCAGGTCTCAGTAGGACAAAGTAAATCAATATCATAGTCTGATATTAATTCATTCACTAAAACAGCTTTAGAGGACAGAGACCTGATATTTAACAGCCCACATTTCATTCTCTTATTTTGTGCTACTGAGGAGTTGGTTTTAATTTTTATTAGATTTTTATGTTTTACTCCTCTTGTTTTTATTTCTTTAAATAATCTAGGTGGTCGGGGGACAGACACAGTCTCTATGGGGTTTTGGGTGGGTGACTGTTCTAAAGAAAGCGCAGAGAAGTGTGTAAGACAGCAGCTCTGCTTCCTGGTCCCAACTCTGGACTGTCAGGTTTTAGAAATAAACTTTGCCATATTTCTAGATAAGAGAGCCGCTCCATCCAAAGTGGGATGGATGCCGTCTCTCCTAATCAGACCAGGTTTTCCCCAAAAAGGCTTCCAGTTATCAATGAAGCCCACATCGTTTTCTGGACACCACCTCGACAGCCAGCGGTGGAATGATGACATGCGGCTATACATGTCATCACTGGTCACATTGGGCAGGGGTCCAGAGAAAACTACGGAGTCCGACATTGTCTTAGCATAATTACACACCGACTCCACATTAATCTTAGTCACCTCCGATTGGCGTAAACGGGTGTCGTTACCGCCGACGTGGATAACAATCTTACTGTATTTACGTTTATCTTTAGCCAGCAGTTTTAAATTTGATTCAATGTCGCCCGCTCTGGCCCCAGGGATACATTTAACTATGGCCGCTGGCTTCACTAACTTCACGTTTCTGACTATGGAGCTGCCAATAACCAGAGTTGGTTCCTCAGCGGGTGTATCGCTGAGTGGGGACAATGTGTTAGAAACATGAATGGGTTGGTGGTGACCTGTGGGCTTCGCCGTTCGAGTCTTCCTTCGCTCAGTCACCCAGCCTCCCTGTCTTCCCGGCTGCTCGGGAACTACCGGAGGATCTACCGGAGGAACTACCGGGGGGATCTACAGAGCTAACAGAAGCTACCTTCGGTCGGACCGCACCGGCTACCGGGGGCTGGCTAACTATAGCGGCTAAAGATATCTCTGTGGTGCGGTGCCGTTCCTCTAACTCACTAAGCCTCGCCTCCAGCGCAGTAAATAGACTACATTTAATACAGGTACCATTATCATTAAAGGAGGCAGAGGAATAACTGAACATCTGACACACTGAGCAGGACAGAGGAGAGGGAGAGGGAGAAGCCATAGCTAACTGCTAATGCTAATGAAACTAGAGTGTATGAAAAACTTTGAAAGTAGTGAAAAGTCACTAAAAGAGGGAGAAACTCCGAGTGTTTAAGTAGAACTAGTCTACGTTTAAATGTTAAGCGGGTAAATAACCGCTGTAACGAGTATATCAAATTTAGATTTAGCGTTCACTGACAGAGCTACAGCACCAAACAGTGTACACAGAGCAGGAAGTAAACCGGAAATGAGTCAGTACGCTTACCGTAGCACGTCATCCGTCACAAGAACCAGTCTGCAAGGCTACCTGTTGAATCTCTAATGTGGAGGTCAATGGTTTCAGCCTCTGTTGAACTCAGAGCTGATCACAGACAGTTGGATTTGTTCACTTTAAGAACACTCAGGGTTAGTTCTCTCTTTGATGGCTGCAGTGCGGGATCAGGATCACAACAGACCCGGGTTAGGAAACAGTCCTCGTAAGTGTTGAGCCAACAGTCTTGGTGCTCTTCTGTTCTGTGTGTTTTTAATGTAACAACATTTTACTCCTGATCTCCTGAATATCACACAGGAACCTGTTCTGGAAGATAAATGAGAAACTGCTCATTAGTGACGACGATGTGAAATGTCCTCATCCTCACAGGTCGTTCCAAAACCCAAAGAGGTTCCCATCCCATATCTCCACTAGAGGCCTGAACTGGCTCAACACCAAGCCCAGATATGGATCCTGATCAGTCTATGACAGCACTGAACTTCCTCTAGTCTCCATCTCCAGCACCTTAAATTAATCCAGAACATAGACCACTCCCCAAAACACATTGAAGACAACATGGTGGACAGGAAAGTACCTGACAACAGAAATAAATAACAGAAACTAATCCAGAGAAAAGCAGAATGCAAAAGTCATTAAAACATTTATTTATTACAAAAGAGCATAACAATCATATTGGAATTATTTATGACTGATATTGTGAATGTGATGAGTCACAAGAATTAATTATAAAACTTGTGACGATGTGATTTTTGGTCTGTCTGAAGGTCAGAGCATCGCAGTGCTTCAGGTCTGATTCGGTTCGTTGTGTCACATCTTTGCAGTTTGTACAGATTTCTATTTTCATTAACTTCATTAAGTCAGTTCACCTCATTCAGACAAAAACAGAGTTCATATTCGTTGGGTAATATGTATGTTGATGTTGCTACAAAGAGAAGTAACTGTAAGATGATGGTGAAGTAATGAGGGACTACATAGCATTTACTCAGTATTATGTCTCTCTCATTAATTAATGAACTGCTCTATAAATGTGACTATAGTTCCTCATTGTCAGTCAGAAAGGAAACAGCTGACACATGGTCTGTGTGTTGAGTATTAACCAGCAACCTGTGGCACTTTCAGTAGTAGCCTGTGTCTTACAACCTGGCCTTCATTTTCTCTGCAACCCGACTGGAAAGAGGCTGTTGTAGTGTGGGGAGGGCCAGGGGAATGGGTGTGGCCTGGGATCTTGGTAAGCAGTAAGCCAGGGGAGGTTAACCACGAGCGTGGCTGGACGTCGGCAGCTCTTGAGCAACAGGCCATATTTTCTCGGGTGTCTCTTCATAATGTACAAGTCTTTTGCCTTTTATTAAAGACCTCTATGGAGAGGACCACCAATAGGTTGAACCTAGCTTCCTGCTGCCCTGTTCACAGCAGCTGAGTTTCTTAAATAAAGCTTCCCAGACCCCCTTCTCATGGGCAGCGCCTTGCTGAGTGGAGTACCACTGGCTCAGATCAGAGTTGGTCCATTGTGAATTTATCTTTAATTTATTAATCTGTTCACAGTGTTGGGATCTGTATGTAGGCCTCCTGTATATTTCTGTATATCTGACGTTGATATTTAAGTCTTACACAGATCAGTTCTGCATTTGAATCCTCATCTTCTGCCAAATCAAACTGTAAAATCATACACGTAGTCAATGGAAAGTCCCTTTGACACAAATACAGTACGTCTTGCAGTTGCCATGGAAACAGGGGCCGTGGCTTCAGCTGGTCTGGATTCCAGCTCAGATCAGAAGAATGCCAACAGGTTCAACAGCGTTCAGACTCACAATGAACAGTCAGTCCTGACTTCCAAACAACAGTGAGATAAAGTGAGATATATCTAGGTCATGTATATAGAAACAAATAAAGAGTCTTTCTTGGCTAACTGGTTCTACTGGTCATAACCACACAGACGCACGCAGGCCAGCTGACAGTCTTGCCTGGTCCCGGGACGAGATAATCTTAGATGGGGCCCCCCGCACCCAGATCTCTCTTTTCCCTTGCTCTTCCTCTCCTGTCTGTGGAATTTAGTGCACTAGTTGACTTTTTGTCTACTTCAAAGGAGAACAGCAAGCATGGTAGGCAAAATAAGGCCTTTTTTGGAGTTGCTATATCCAGTCCCTATCCATTTAACCCCTTCCATTGTGGGATGTGGAATATGTGGAACCATGATTGATCAACATTTCAGGTTACACATTAATGTAAATGAGCTTATCACAGATCAGATTGCTTTTCTGTTTCAGTTTTTTTCTGAAGATTTGTAAGAAGCACTATAGCACTGTAATCCATGATAGTATCAGTTCCATTAAAATCCCACACACTGTCCCTCTGCTTCCCAAGTGGCCTCTGTGTGACATATGCTGTTACATAATACCAAGGCAGAGGGCAAGTATATGAGGGGGAGTAGAGCTACGAATGAAACTCCACTAAAGCCTGAATACATTAGTGAGGGAGGGATAAGGAGGCACAAGTGAGACTAATCAGGAAGACACATGTGACACTGATCAATTAAACTAAAACCCAAAACCATGACACTAAAATGTGAGATCACTGTAAACCTGATTCCAGATTTGTTCTGAGTTTCTAATCACTTATTTATTTCAGTTTATACATATTTCCTTCTTAGGTTGTTTGCCAGCCTACATGGAAAGTTATGAATGATCACATCTTTGCTGCTTTACTGGATAACATTAATGTATAGTATAAAAACTACAGACACACAGACCACCAGTAGATGTTCCTCTGCACATTATTTCCGTAGTTTAAATAACAATGTGATTTAAAGTCATTTTAATTTCCTACACAGCTATCAATCATCAACACCAGAGTGATTGATTGGTTGATTGATTGATGAGGGTTACCTCTGGCTCTCTATCCATATACAGACACCATGAGGACAGTGGAGATGCAGTACAGACAGAACACCACTAGGTGGCAGAGCAGTATGAACACAAGCTGGAGGGGGTGGAGGCAGGAGGCGGGGCTGCATGGGAAGAGAGTGGGGGTGATGGAGGAGGCGTGGTTGTCGGAGTGGGCAGGGCTGAGCAGTGTGGAGAGGAAGAGCACAGTAAAGGAGGAAGAGAGGTGGAGCTGAGAGGGAGCTCATTAGAAGGAGAAAAGCTCTGCTGGAAAGTTACTACTCTACTGAGTTGATTCTGTGTTTAAATAAACTCATAAATACTTCATGATGCTCTGCAGGAACTGATATATAATATTTCTGTCAGGTGGAAGCAGCTCCAGTTACTCATGATGATCAACACAAGTCTAAACTGAGAGAGAAGAAACTTTACAGAGTGAATCTTCTCAGCCGTTCACTGACTAAAGAATCCAAACTCTTCAAACAGACAGTCTGTACTGAAGCTGAATGATGTTCATGCTGTTTATAGTCTGCGGTTGAGGTTTACTTTGTTTGTTCTTTATCAGCACTGAAGAGAGGTTTGTATCGGTTAGCCACAACCAACCAGAACAAGTCAAAGTTTCCATCAGACAGCTTTGTGAAACCTACAGAACCACAGCAGAACAACAAGAATAAAGTTTATTGATCCAAAAACAGAAATATTAATAACAGCAATATGCTTACATTAAATATAAAACAGCTGATAGTTATTATTAGATTCTGTTCAGAAATAGAAGAATGGCAGTTTAACATAGTGAGTAATATCTTGTTCTTGTGCATCCTGCTGAAATACTTTTAAAACTTAAATATAATATAAATATAATAATAATAACTTTTTTTTTGCACCAAAAAACACAAATAAAGAATACATAAATGTGAGTTGTTTGTCTGTTTGTAGCTGCATGAGTCTAATTATACTTTAAAGATAACACAATGAAACTAATGGAAGTACTGGGAGTCTGTGGGGACCAGTTAGAGGCCAGCTGGACATCAGTGGTTGGACTGGTTGAAGGTGTGAAGGTCTACCTCAGTGAAGAGTAGACGACCTCTGGCTCTGCTGGAAACTCTGAACACAAACAAACAAACTCAATGAGAAACAACACACAACAACTTCTACCCTGACGAGCTCTCAGGAACTGCTGACTGCTGTCAAACTCCAGATTCAATCAGGTTGCATTAATATTGAATGAATGTTTAACATAATAAAGACTTTAGTGAAACATCTGTAGTGCTGTCCAATTACAACCTATCAACCATATGTGTATAGTTTTCTTACAGCCCTCAACCCCCCCGTGAAGCTTTGGTGACCCCCAGGTTGGGACCCACTGTTACAATGTGAACCTGGTTTATAGATCCTTGTGTCTTTCATTACTATCACCCACATCTCTTTAAAGGAATAGTTCAACATGGTGGGGAATGATCTTATCCTCTTTCTTTATGAGAGTGAGATGAGAACATTGATATCAGTCTAATGTCTGTGTGTTCAGTATGGAGCTGAAGTCAGGACATTGTTAGCCTAGCTTAGCATAAAGATTGGCAGCAGGGGCAAACAGCTAGCCTAGCTCTGTCCAGCATTCATAGATAAAGAGCAGCGGTACCTCTCATCCTGTTTGTTGTGATGCCTTAAAGACTCCTCTCACTGCGGAGTAAACTGCAACTGAATCAGTGTCTGGAAAACAACATACACATTATATTACTGCAGGTAGTACAGCTGATACTGTTACTGCTAGTGTTAGCACTACAGGTAGCACTGCAACACCTGTAAGATGAAGAGTATCAATACTACTGCTGTACAAGTAATGAAATCATCTGCATATAGCATTATAATAAGATCTGTTACAGACTCTATAAAGGGCAGCAGGTTTTTACAGGCTGTTTTCTTCTGAACACCACTTCTGTGAAACATGAAAGAACACATTTAAATGGAAACTGGACGACCACAGCGCTGCTCTCTTCTATTAAAGGTGGTTGACACATTGACCACAAGGCACAAACAGACAAACACATCACCATCAGATACAGCAGACCAGAATATAGTGAGAAACCTCACCAGAGTCAGAGTTCAGTCCAATGGAAACAGGAAGCTGCTGCTGTTTGATATTCAGAGTGAAAAACAACTCAACTATTAATTATATTAAAGCTCAGATTGTAGTAAAGTGTCTGTCTCCTCTTAAATACGCTGCCTTAAATCTTACTTTGAACAAGGACTTCTTAAACTTTAACTGTCTTCTTAAAGTATAAATCTAGAGATTTTTTATATTTGTCTTCATTTTCAGACTCAAACGAACACTGACTGTATCCACTAACTGCTACTGTGTGTATCACAGTCTGATATATCTCCTTCCTCTGTGCCATAGAGCTCCATTTAAAAGCTTTGCTGTGAAATTTGAAAAGAGACCAAACACAAGTGGAGGAGAGCTGTCAACCTGTCACACAAACTATACAATTATATTAACTCTATTATTATACATTTATTTAATGTGAAATCCAAAAGATCCAAATGTGACTTAACATTTGGATGTAAATAGTAATATATATAATGTTGGTGTAACAAGACTGTGAAGATCAACAAAATGATATCAATGAATACATTTGCAGATTGCAGGTTATTCACTGTTTACATTAAATAAAGTAAAGAGTGAAACACATTAACAGTTAATGTGAGCAGAATGTACAGACAGTGTAAATCTGCAGTTATTTATTGACATGGTGTCTTTATTTAAATGAACAGTCCTGCAGTGAAACATGAGCAGATCAACGTTCAGCTGAGTTGTTTTCATCAGAAACAGGAAACTGGACGACCACAGAGCTTCTGTTAACAGATTCACCGCAGGGTCCAAACAGACAGAGCCACACACACAACACAACACACACAACACACACTATCATCAACTAAAATAGAACTACAATATATCTCACTACAGTGTTTAGGAAGTGAAAAGCATTGATTTTACATTGTATTTATGTTGATGAACATGCTTTCTAACATTGTTTAAAAATGTCCTCACTTCATTTTCCATATTGTCCCTAAAAATAAAATCAATAAAACATCATTACCTCGTCTGCGTCTGATTGGCTGTTGTGGGTGACGCAATATTTTGTCATTGTATGTGACGCCATCTGTGATGTCATCGTCTCCCCCTGCTGCAGCAGCTGAAACGAAGCAACAAATATTTTACACTGAGGTCAGATTCAATCAAAATGTCCAGCACTAAAATAAATGGACCCGTGTTGAGAACGTGAATGTAATAATTAATAGTAAGAGTTGAACATTTAAACTTTAAACTGATTATCTGTAGACTCAGTTCTGAAATACCAACAGTAAAATGTCATTTTAAATGTGAACTGTAGGACATGGTTGTCTTTTTGTGTCTGAGTCTAACCTTTATGTTTCCTCTGGATGCATTGTCTCACCAGTAGAACCATTAGAACCACTACAACCAGTAGAACCAGTAGAACCACACCACAGAATAATAGGAGGAAGAGAGGGGGAAGA